TTGATTTTGGCCCTTTCTTCTTTTAGAATATGTGCATTTATTGCTATAAACTGACCTCTGAGCACTGTTTTTGCTGTGTCCCAAAGGTTCTGGCAGGATGTTTTCATTCTTGTTTGAGTCTATGAATTTCTTTATTCCATCCTTAATTTCCTCTATAATCCAGTAGTTTTTGAGCAAGGTGTTGTTAAGTTTCCATGTGTCTGATTTTTTTCCTTGTTTTCTCTGTTACTGATTTCTACTTTTTAAAAAATTTTTTCCCATACAAAAATTTATACATTGTTATGTGACTCTGATAGCTCTCCCCATACTGTGACAGCACACTCCTCCTTTCTACCCGATACCCCATGTCCATTCAACCAGCTCCTAACCCTCTCTGCCTTCCCATCTCACCTCCGGACAGAAGCTGCCTGTTTAGTCTCTTGCATCTACTTCAGCTAAGAGGCCCACTCCTCGCATCACTTTATGTCCCACAGTCCAGTCCAATCCCTGAAGTCTGAAGAGTTGGCCTCGGAAGTGTTTTAGTTCTGGGCTGATAGAGAATCCAGGGGCCATGGTTTTCAGGGTACCTCCAGTCTGACTATTAAGTCTGGTCTTCTTAGTAGAATTTGAGTTTTGCACCCCACCTTTCTCCTGCTCCATCCGGAACTCTCTGATTTCTACTTTTATAGCTTTATGGTCAGAAAAGATGCTTTGTAATATTTCGATGCTTTGGATTCTGTTAAGGCTTGCTTTATGGCCTAATATGTGGTCTATTCTGGAGAATGTTCCATGTGCATTGGAAAAGAAAGTATACTTGGCTGCTGTTGGGTGGAATGTTCTGTATATGTCTATGTGGTCAAGTTTGTTGACTGTGGCATTTAGATCTTCCCTGTCTTTACTGAGGTTCTTTCTGGATGTTCTGTCCTTCACCAAAAGTGGTGTGTTGAAGTCTCCTACTACTATTGTGGAGCTGTTTACCTCTCTTTTCAATGCTGCTAAGAGTTTGTTTTATGTATTTTGGAGCCCTGTTGTTGGCTGCATAAATATTTATTATAGTTATGTTCTATAACTATACTGATCCTTTAATCATTATATAGCGTCCTTCCTTAGCCTTTGTAGTGGATTTTACTTGAAAGTTTATTTTGTCAGAGATTAATATTGCCACTCCTGCTATTTTTGGACTGTTGTCTGCTTGACCTATTTTTTTCCATCCTCTGAGTTTGTTTGTGTCTTTTAAGTCTAAGGTGTGTCTTTTGTAGGCAGCATATAGACGTTCATGTTTTTTTAAATCCATTCTGCCACTCTGTCTCTTTATTGCTGCATTTAGTCCATTTACCTTCAGCATAATTATTGATAGGTATGAACTTAGTGCTGTTATTTTGATGTCTTTGTGTGTTGCTGACAGTTTTTGTTCCACTTAATTTTCTGCGCTGAGTCATTTTTCTTTATGTATTTTCTTTTCATCTTTTTCATTACTATTGATTTTGTTATTTGCTGAGTCTTATATTTTTCTTGTTTTTTATTTTCATGTGTAAGATTGTTAGTTTTCTTTGTGGTTACCTTAATATTTACCCCTATTTTTCAAAGCTTAAACCAGTCTTTTATTTCTTTATATTGCCTCGACTTCCTCTCCATATGAAAAATTTATGTCTACATTTTTTAGTCCCTCTTTTTGTTTTAATGTTGTCATCTTTTATATATTGATATCTGTTTCCCTATTTTCAGTGTTTTAGCTTTAATTTATTTTTGTGACTTCCCTATCTGGGTTGATCTCTGGCTGCTCTGACCTGTGTTCTAGTCTTGGGCTGTTATTGATTTTCTAACTGGAGAACGACCTTTAGTATTTCTTGTAATTTTGGTTTGGTTTTTGCAAATTCCCTAAACTTCTGTTTATCTGGAAATGTCCTAATTTCACCATCATATTTGAGAGACAGTTTTGCTGGACATATTATCCTTGGCTGGCAATTTTTTTCCTTCAAGGCTTTATATATGTCATCCCACTGCCTTCTTGCCTGCATGGTTTCTGCTGTGTAGTCCAAGCTTAGTCTTATTGACTCCCCTTTGTAGATGACTTTTTGTTTATCCCTACCCACTCTTAAAATTCTCTCTTTATCTTTGGTTTTGACAAGTTTGATTATCTCTTGGTGACTTTCTTTTGGGACCTATCTTACGTGGGGTTCGATGAGCATCTTGGATAGATATCTTCTCATCTTTCATGATATCAGGGAAGTTTTCTGTCAACAAATCTTCATCAATTCTCTTTACTGTTACTGCCTGCATTCTGGTACTCCAATCACTTGTAGGTTATTCCTCTTGATAGACTGTGGGAAGGTTTCTTATCTATGAGACACCTTCCAGATAATCCTAGTGGAAGACAGTATGCCATCTCCCATGGAAACAATAACATGTAAGGTAGTCAGATTTTATACTACTAATTGTTATGTGTGTGCATATGTGTGCTTTTTTGACTCATCTTAGAGACTTCACTTCAGAATACTGTATTTACAGGGAAACCTGTAAAAATTCTAGATCAACTTACAAACCAAATAAAATCACTTATAGAATACAATCTGTTAAGCAACAGATTGCTTGCTTTTGACCTGATTCCAAATCATGATATTCTTACAAAAGCTCTGTGTTTAAAAGAAACCTATCTTGTAAAATTGATTTTCTACAGAAAACAAGGAGAGCTCTAACTTCCACTGAGTCTTAAAGAATGGGTAAGTGAGATTTAGGCAGATAAGAGGAAGGATATGTTCCAGTTTAAAAATCTGTGTTTTCATGTAACTTTGACTATATTTGTAGAGTCAATTTCAAACAAACACTTTGTGAATTATTTATAACTTTCTGCCATCTTCCGGAATATTTCTCACTGCTCCACCCACCATCAAGCGTATGTTTGGCAAATTCAAACTTCTGAATAGTATGAGAATAAGCAATAAGAGAAAATTGCTACATGAAATTATAATGTATTCTGAGATCAAAAGTCTTAGCTCTACTACATAAATCTCTTATCTAAAAGCTGAGACATTTAGAGCAAATCGTTTAACTTTCAATTTTCTCCTCTATAAAATCTGTCCCAATTATTCCATATGATTTTTGTGAGGGTTAAATGAAATACATAGGTAAAATAGTTGGAACGTTATGTAAATGTGTATCTTCCAACCAAAATGTTACCTTTCAAGTGCTGTTTCTGTAATCACTAGCAAAAGGCTTGAGCCCTGGTGGTGTAGTGGTTAAGAACTCAGCTGCTAATCAAAAAGTCGGCAGTTCGAATCCACCCAGCTGCTCCTTGGAAACCTTATGGGGCAGTCCTATGCTATCCTACAGGGTCGCTGTAAGTAGGAATCGACTTCAAAGCAATGGATTTGGTTTTTTTTAGTAGAGGGCTATGGAAAGAAAGTTGGATGCTCTTCAAAATCAATTAAAAAATCAAATGTACAACAAAAAACCTAGTCTATTACCAAATTTTAGTCTACATCATAACTGAGTGACAAAAACTAAATTGCCGTTATTTAACAAATTTTAAAATGCTCTTGACCCGCCTTAGGCTTTACACTGGTCATTTCAGCACTGAGTCACACTCTCCTATGAAACTTGCAAAACCAAAGATAGCCAGACTCAACCCCTACTGAATCAGAATCTCAGTGGTGTGGGCTGAACCTGTCTGACTTCAAAAAGTTCCACAGGGGTCTCTGATGATTAAGAGCCACTTGCTCATATGCACCCCTTTTTGTGAAATGTAATTCTTGAGAATTACTATAACTGAGCATTTTATGAAGGAACTCACCAAAAGAAGGTAGGCATTCATGATTTGTGCTGTTTCCCCCCATTAATATAAAAAAATTGAGAGTTGATAGTATGCTTTGGAAACTAATTTTACCACAATTAGCCTCCTTAGTCAACAGCTCCATCTACTGGATAAAATTGGGGAAAATCTTCCTACAATTTTAGAACAGATTCTGCTTAAAAGCAAACTATGCTGTGAAATTAAAATGTCAAAGACCAGTACATTTATTTTTTTTCTGTGATATCCTTTTGTCAGATACACATCTGTCAGACGCATACTTTTTGAAACTACATAAAGAACTTTCAGAACTTTCTAAAAGTAGCTATACCTCACTTTATACAGTAAAACATGCTTCTGAAAAACTACAATATGGTTGATTCTTCCCCCTTACTACGGTGGCACAAAGGTTAAGCACTCAGCCGCTAACCAGAAGGTTAGCGGTTCAAACACACCCAGAGGCTCAGCAGGAGAAAGACCTGCCGATCTGCTCCCTTAAAGATTACAACCTAGAAAACCATTTAGGGCAGTCCTACTCTGTCACATGGAGTCCCTATTAGTCGAAAATCAATTCAACGGCACTAACAACAAGAATATAATCATTTTAAACGTCTAGGAAGTTCTGTCTCAAGTTGGTGAACAAGCACACGTTAAACTCCTTCTCCACCTGAAAAGTCACTAAAATAGGAATTTTAAAAGTACAAAAGGAATTAAATCCAGAACAGGAGGGGTATGGTGTCAGCAGACGATTGATTTTGAAAAATTTCTGGAAGACTAAAAGCTGATGTGACAATACTGGCGTATGGGTCTCACCTTAGAGCATGCAAGGGAAAGGTGAAGCAGAGAAGAGCACTTTTATGCCACAGCACAACCCTGTCCCTTCCTTCCCTCACAGGTAAGGAGAGCAGATTAAGTGGTTTTAGAGCTAGAAAGAGATGGACCAATAGTAACCTAAGAAAAGTTAAAATAGATGAATGAATGAATAAATAAATGAGATAAAGAAACAGAGGAAAACGTAATGGGCTCTTTCATTCCAGGGCCATCAAATGTCTAGCAAGATGAATTTAAAAATATGCCACCTAAATATATCTCTGCGAAATTTCGAAAATCCAAGCGTAAACTGAAAATCTTAAAATGTTCCAGAGGGGGCAGAAACCGGTCATCAATAAAGGAATGACATTAGACTTCTTACACAATATAGTAAACAATATTCTTTTACTTATCTGCTACTTACGTGAAAAAGTTTTTCTGTCTTTGGAAAAACGGCAACAATATCATACAGGCGGACCCTTGAAGAAGTTGCTCTCTAGTAATGTTAAAAAAAAGAAAGTTAACATACAGAAACAGAAAATATATATACAGAATTCCACCTAATAATCTAGTTACACTTACATTTCAATCATTTAACACTATTAATCTGCCACTGATGTTTCTGCTCAGTAGGCTCAGCCCTACTGGTGTTTTGTTTTCCAGAACACACCATGTTCTCCTTGGCTTCAGGACTTTGCATGCTCCGTGCCGTCTGTGGGAGTACTCTTTCCTGTACTTATTACTATGTAACAATTACTGATTTTTCAGGCCCCAGCTTGAACATCATCTTGCTCAGGATGGCTCCCCTGCTATAAACTCTCAGAGCATCCTTTATTTACCACCACCTCCCTTTTCAAACGTAACTCACATTTGTAATTATTCTTCGTTAAGTGCTTCTCTTGCTGATTAAACTATAACCTTTCTAAGTTCAAGGACTGTGTCTGTACTATCAACAGCAATATCCCAGCATCTAGCCTTATGCCTGGCACATGTGAACTGAATGAATAATAGTTGCCAAAGGATTCTTTAATCGTGGTATCACTACACATGTGCCATGAGTAGAACAGATATGTTATACCATGAAAATTCTGAGGCTAGGGAGAGCAGGACAGGTGTCGTGGAAATGGATCTGTAAGAGTAGGGGGAGGTGAAAAGCCACATTGTTCAATATTAATTAATACAACTTCCCACCCACCCCACCCACTGTCATCAAGTCGATTCTGACTCATAGCAATTCTATAGGGTTTCCAAGGCTGTAAATCGCTACAGAAGCAGACTGCCACATCTTTCTCCCATGGAGCCACTGGTGGTTTTGAATCGCTGACCTTTCAGTTAGCAGTTGACTGCTTTAACCACTGCACCACTAGGGCTCCTTTAATACAACTTACAAGGCCAAAAAGAGAAAAGAAAAATAACTTACCAAAACATTGCAGTGAGAGGGATCCGAAATGATAATTGTCAGTCTAGTTAAAATTTTAATTGGTCTTGATTTTCCCTATAAGAAAAGGACTATCAAACATGTACAAAATACAACCAATAGATTTTCTTCTTTACCAGTGGAAAGTATTCATTAAAAGGTACCACCTATCAATGATAACTGAAGAGCAATAACACTTAGTTCCTGTCCTCAAGAAATTTATAACACAGCTAAAGAAAAAAACATGTACATATGTTAAGCTATATGAGATTATTTAAAAGTTGTAGGACTTTCAGGGAAGATTATCAAATAAGCACCAGATAGACAACAGTAAGAGAATGTTTCATGGAAGAGCTGCCTCTTGACAGAAACAGCAGATTGGTAGGGAGGGAAGGCGTAGTACAGATTAGAGAGCATCACACATAACCAAGTGTATTTGAAATGAACGAACAGGGTATTACACTGCTTAACACCAGAACACCTACCTGTACGACTGGCAAAGTTGTGAAGAGTTCTGAAACAGCTACTGGTTTTTCAATTTCCTACAACAAATGATAAACAATCCACCTGAACTGTGCATGTTAATGGAACAAAGCATAATGGATACAGGAGGGATAAAAAATAATTTTAAGGCTGAAAAAAAAAATCTATCAATAATTTAATCTAACAGCACTCAGTAACCTAATCAGTAAAGCTGCCAGCCTAAAGAGAAAATATAAATATTTACCTGAGATTTAAGAATGAAATCAATTAGTTTAATGAGTCCATGACAAAAAATAAAAATGACTAAATGTTACCATTACAGTTAATAACAATGTACTTTTAAAATGTTATTGAAAGTGCCTTAGTTAACATCAAACCAACTTTAAGAATTATACCATGCAGTAGTACTTCACAAAAATCTTTATCATTTATACAAATATAAATCAGCTCAAAATTGTTAACATGTAAGAAAATAATAATGCACAAAGAGAGTGCATTTAATAAATACACTCATCTGTAGTCTCCATATTACCAACATAAACACAAACAATTATAAATACAGGTTTATTAACTCTAGAAATTGTACTTTACCTGTTTCTTTTCCTTAAAGTCAATAACATGATTGATGGCAACAACTGAATAGCCAACTGAAAAGAAAAATTAAACATTCATGACAAGCATTAACTGAGTAACTGGAGTAACTGGCATGTATCCTTGCTGCTAAGTGACTATGGTGAGCACAGGAAATATGGCAAAGAATAAGACATGGCCCCTCTCTGAAGAAGCTCATAGTGTATTCCGTAAAGGGATAGCATCAGGAAAAGCTTCATTGAGAAGGTAATACTTGAGATGAGTTACACTAAAAAAAAAAAAAAAAAAGATTATTTTAAAGGAACCATCAAAGCATATAAGCTCTAAAGGCCCTTAGATGTCCTATCTAATCCCCTTTCTACAGATGAGGAAAGTATGTCTCAGAGAGACAATGCTAATTAGTGGCTGCAATGGAAAGAGTCATTTTACTATGGCTACTTCATGAAGAAGACAAAAAGAAATGATGTGATTCACTTTCCTAAGGAGTGGGTTTATCTAGGACCACCTCTGAAAAGTATCAGCATCAGCTCTTACAACAAGCTGAGAACTCTATGAGAAAGAGGTTTTAACTGCAGAAACCTTTTTCTTCTTTTAACCATTAACTGCTCTGCCCCCCGCCCCGCACCCCACTTTACAGCCATTAGTAAACCCAACGATTAAAACGGGGGTTTTGTCTCTCAGGGCCTTCGCTCGCTTTGATTCAAATATGAGAAACATTCTCACATTTTGGCTATGCTGCCCACCCCGCCACCCCCCCGCCAAGTATGTCCTCTGCCCCCATCTACTCTCCAACTAAATGATGTTGTTCCATCACTCACATCCCTAAGTACTCCCCCTTCTCTGAGCCCTCACAGCACTCCGTGTCCCAGGTTGCCCAATTTGCTGAGACACACTGCCGTAACAGGCAGGGAGAGGTGGTGTTAGAAACACTGGTTTAAGAGATTGAAAGGGGATGCGCGGGAACTTCACATTTATTGTCAGCTGTGTAGGCCTAGCGTCCTGGGTATTGTAGTATTGTTAATGCAAAGCTTGCCTAGTTCACTTCTGCATGTTCCTATGATTCTGATTTATTATCCATGCCTGTATGCTCCTATGATTCTGATTTATTTTCCTTCTCTCTTTCCTCCTGTTTTCCCATGATTTTAAAAAAGTTTAAAAATTAACCTAAGTTCCTCTTTGGGAGGTAGAACAAGTGATAAAATCTGAAGGCGAGACAACTGAACACAGGATCAAGAATACCCGCAGAAGGTCAACATGTCTGCAACGAGATCACTGTGCCCACCTCAAAGGGGAACTAATATTCCACAGATTCTTCGGACCCTGACCCTGTCCCTGTCCCTGTCCCGATAAAATCCTCTGATCGGCCTCCAGAGGGGAGGAAGATTTTGGGTGAGCTCATTCGCCTCTGTCTCCTATATATCTATATACAATAAAACACTCTTGAAACTCACCTCATCCCTGTCTCAATATTGGCTTTTCCCGCAAGCGGCTGAGACCTGCGTTCCGCGGTAACAAGACTGTATACTTCGGAGACTAGCCCTGGCTTCTGCCACCCATCAGCTGTGGGGCCCTATGCCCTCTCTGGACCTCAGGTTCCCCAACTTGCACAAAGGAAGGAGCTGAACCCCCCACCCCACTCCATCCCCTGTCCCAGTTCCGCGGGCTCGGGATCAGAGCAACACCGCGGCCAGGTATCAGCCTCAGGGACATCCCAGAGACCCCAGGAGACATGAACGAGGCCCGGCCTTCCCAGATGCCTCCGAAGCGACGCCCGACAGTCTAGGGGGAAGCGATGCTAGGCAGGCCCAGCAGCCTGCAAGGCCGGGCAGACTCACGGTGAGCGGCGTTCTCCACGAGCCGGCGCAAAGCGTTCAAGTCGGCACCCGCTCGCAGGTCCAAATCCGCAAACACCGCCATGCTGAAGTCACATGACCGCCAGTTTGCGCCGTTCTGCGCAGCCGCCGGGCCCGCCTCCTCGGGCATGCTGGGAATTGTAGTCTACCTGCCCCGTCAGTCCCACCTTCTTGTTGAATACATACTTATTTTGGGGATTCGTAGGGACTTGCCCCGCCTTCAAGTACGAGCAAAAGTTAGTGTGTTAAAATCAACAGCCTCACTTCAATTATTCTTTGTCTTTTTCTGAATGAGAATGTTTGCGTTTCCCTCGGAGGAATTCAAATCCTCCTATAATGTATTAAGTGATTCATTCAAAATGCATGCATACAACTTTTATTGAGCCCCTGACGTGAAGCAGACATTTTTGCTAAGGGCTGGAAGTGCTAGTTAAAAAGTCATTTTAAAAAACGGTTTTGCTTTCCTTCCCCAAGTGTCAGTTTGTGATTTAAAATGGGCTTAACGAGATGGGAGAGCTGATTCCCAAGCCCTGAAAAGAAGACATCTAGCCGGAGCAAAGCTAGTTGCTCTGTTACAGTCAACACCTTCAACCACAAGATGGCAGGGCTCTCTAGGTTAAGCTGTTCGCGCCAACCTGATTTAGCCAGATTTGACAAGGGAAGTGCAAAATTGAAGTGTTTAACAATTTTCCATTTGAGAAATGTATAGTGTTTGATGTTTTAAACGTGGAGTGTTTGATATTTCCATTTTTTGGACTTCTGCTATAAATGAGCTCTTGAAGATTGACAAATCAATTATCCGATAATGCAAAACTGTGGAACTATAGTTTATCTCACCGCTTTTCAACTGTGATGAAAGGCCAGTTTTTTTCCCCAGTTCTTCATGAACCAGTACGAGGTCCAATGTGCACGACTAGTAGGCCCTCTGGTCTCTTCTGACTCACCAGTTTGACAACATCCAAAGTGCTCTGTACTCGGTTTGAATAAGAACAGTCCACTGACCAGGGGCTTGGACATCAGGACAAAGCCAAAGTGATGCGAACGTTTCTGACCATCTTTAACTTTTGTACTCACAATCAGTCTGCAGATGGTCTCTGGTCCACTGACCGACCGCTCCTTAAGTCATACTCCCTTACATGATTTCTTCATTGTTCTCAGAAGGGAATTTTAAGAAGGACCTGTTGTTCCCTGTGCAGAACCGAACCCATTCCCGTCGAGTCGATTCTGACTCATAGAGACCCTATAGGACAGAGTAGAACTGCCCCGTAGGGTTTCCAAGGAGCGCCTGGTGGATTCGAACTGCTGAGCTTTTGGTTAGCAGCCATAGCTCTTAATCACCGTGCCACCACGGTTTTCTGTTTCCTGTAGTAGTATGCAATTTATGTCTTAGCTGAATTTTGTAAAAAAGGAATATTTTTTCTTTCCCAATACTTGATATTTCCTAAGCGAGAAAGGAAGAAAATATGGCTTTTACAAACAGAACAAGGTCATAAGAAGCAAATCCTTTGCTTTTCATTAGAAAGTCTAGTGTTAATTTTGCAGGATCATGTAGAAATTTTCAACTACACCCTATAAAATTTAGGTTGGTCAGAAATATGAACGTGGTCATGAAGGTGAATAAGATGACAATTTAATAAATTGAGAAAAATGATAGCATTAAACTTAAAGAGTGCTTCTTTCTTTGAACGTCATGGTGCTGATGCTGTGGACTATACTACTTGGACATCTTTTCTCCTCTGTACCCTAAGCTAGTGAAGAATAGGAGAAGAAAGGGTGAGAAAGAAAATGAATAGGTAATAGTCACTGAGCACTTTCCTGAAAGCCAGCCTATTTGTTAAGTACTTGTACCCAAACTCATTTCCATCAAGTGGATTCAGACTCAATGTGACCTTATAGGACAGAGTAGAACTGCCTCATAGGGTTTCCAACACTGTAATCTTTACAGAAGTGGATTGCCACATCTTTCTCCCACGGAATGGCTGGTGGATTCGAATTGCCCATCTTTCTGTTAGCAGCTGAGTGCTTTAACCACTGCAGTACCAGGGCTTCTTGTTGCCTGACTCTAAAACAAAAAACCAACCCTGTTGCCATCAAGTCGATTCTGACTCATAGCAACACTGTAGGACAGAATAGAACTGCCCCATAGGGTTTCAGGGAGAAGCTGGTGGATTCAAACTGCTGATGTTTTGGTTAGCAGCCAATCTCTTAACCACTGCACCACCAGGCTCTGTTGCCTGGGTTTTAAAAAAAACAAAACAAAAACCCGTTGCTGTCGAGTCAATTCTGACTCATAGCTAGTTAGGTAATATTCTCTAAGTCTCAATTAAGATAAACTCACTGCTGTCGAGTCGATTCCAACCCATAGAGACCCTATAGGACAGAGCAGATCTACCCTATAGAGTTTCCAAGGCTATAATGTTTATGGAAACAGACTGCCACATCTTTCTGCCTCTGAGCAGCTGGTGGGTTTGAACTGTCAACCTTTCTGTTAGCAGTTGGGTGCTTACCCATGGTGCCACCAGGGCTCCAAGTACTCGTATATGTCATTTAATTCTCAAAGCAACTGTGGAAGTGAAGTACTGTTTTTCCCCAACATTCATATTTACATCTGAGAAATCAGAGGCTTAGGTAGTCATGATAGAACTAGGTGTGGATCCCTGTGATTTGGGCCAACTCTCACCTAGTCTACCGGCTCTTGAGCAAATCCGCCAGAGTGGGGGAAAGGATGGAGAGAAAAGGAGGGAAAGGGAGAAGGGCAAGAAGAGGTGGAGGAGAGACAAAGAAAGAGGAGAGGGGAAACAGGGATGTGGGAGGAGAGAGAGGCGTGAGATGAAGGAAGGGACAGGATGGGATGGGGAGAGGACAAAGGAAAAGGAGCAGCTCAGAAGTTGGCCTGGAAAGGTGGCTTAGGTGGCAAGGATCTGGAGCCTGGAGAAGACTCTGGCAATTTCCGACTGGAAGACAACACTACTGTAAAACTATTGTGCTAAACATTTTACATCTGGTACATGATTTAATCCTCACAACTAGCCAGTGCGAGAGAAATTGCTATTCCTATTAAACCAAGGAGGAGTCCTAAGCTCAAAGAAGACGGCTTTTGAGTCATTTTCACTTTGGTGATAAGTTTAGAAAGAGACAGTGGGTTTCAGCATGCAAAGCAAGCTTTGGACTCTTCCCCGTCTCCCCGAAGGCCATTTTCTCTTGAACTGACCTTTAAATACTGGTGTGTGCTGGCTTTGTCTCTGTCGTTCTCCTCTTTTGATTTTGGTCATCCTTCCTGGGTGAAAAGGAGCTCTGGTGGTGCAGTGGTTAAAGCGATCAACTGCTAACTGAAAGGTCGGGAATTCAAAACCACCCGCGGTTCCACAGAAGAAAGATGTGACAATCTGCTTCCATACAGATTTACAGTCTTGGAAACACTATGTATCGCCTTGAGTCAGAATCAACTTGATGGCAATGGGTTTGGCTTTTGTTTTTCCTGCGTGAAACACTCTGCCTACCCCCTGTCCTCTTGCAGCTTACAGGCTGAGGAGGAGCCAGACCAGATGGCAATAAAGGTGTGTTGGGAGCATCTGATGGTGGCCTTTCGCCCAGACTGAGGAGAAGTTGGGGAGATGTGAAGAGGGTAAAGGACAGAATCCTGGAGGAGTTGAATTAAATGTTGAAGCATGAAAACTTAGCTAGTGTCAAGGAGCAACATGGTGCCAAGGGCTGGGGCTATATCCAGAGCTGCCACAAAGTAGGTGACGTTCAGTAAAAATTTGCCAATTGAATCAATGAACCCATGACCTCTTGTTCATCTCCATACCCATAGCAACACAATTGCAGTAGTGTTAGGTGTATTCAATTATCTAATCACTTGGCCAGAAAGTCACTGAACTATGCATGTGTTGCAATAGCATGCTAATATCAGCAACCCAAACAGAACCCCCTTCTCATATCCCAAGTGACGGGGCACTTATAGGAACTATCGTGCAAATTAGGAAAAGGTGCCGCTCCTCCAGGCAGACATTGTATTTGCCCCTAATTGCCACCTGGCTGTGGAGTTTGTGCAGTGAACTAACTGCCAAACATTTCCCAAGGGCCCTGGTAGGGCATATCAGAGGGGTTAATTGCTAAACCTAGAACTCTAGTGGGACACCACAGGACATCATCAATCCAAGGAGTCTGTCTTCAATAATTCTTCATCTTCTTGCTTTCCCCCAGAAACTCCCATTACAGATCTGAAATTATGACAATTTGTCCATCTTTTGAACTGGGGTAGTCTATCTCTGCTTGAAATATTAGGGTTTGTTTTTTTCTTAAGTGCAGTTGAAAGTGAAGTATTTTATATATCTATGTCTCTGTCAAAAGTAGGAAAATAAAAGAAAGATGAAGAAAGCTTGTGCAGTATAAAATTATCATGAGAATGTGTTTGATTGTGAAAGTAAAGAGTATTCCTGCTTCTTTGATATGCAAAGTGTGCCTGTGACAAAAGAATATAACTTAAGAAGCCATTATGAAAGAAATCAAAGGAAGAACCATGAGTGATTTGCAAAATATGTGTAATGTTAAATTTAATGAATGGAAAGAAAAAGACTGAAATTTCTACAGGGTTTATTTTCTAATACAAATAAAATAAGTGATGCTGCCTTGAAATCATTGTATATTAAGTGAAAAAAAAATTTACCCGGGCATCATAACATTTTTACAGAAGGTAAGTTTATAAACAATATCTATTAAAGGCAACAAATAGAACAGGTCTTAAACAGAAACTAGCATTTGCAAATGTAATAACTAGAAATTCTGTGACTTAGAACTTGAAGGATAAGCTATATTAAAAAAAAACACTAAATAATTTATGGCAATTTCCATTGCCCCGGATAAGGGAGAAGCTATATAAAAGCTATTTGTGTTGTGGAGAATTTTGACATGACAAAAGATCTTTTGGAAATAGTGCCCAAGAAAGGTACAACATTAGGAAGTAGCTTACTTTTGTGTATGGGAAGAGTATTGGAAATTGTAAAGTAGACTGGTCAGAATTGGTAACCATGACTATAGATGGAATCCCTACAGAGGTCAGTGTTAACATTAGACTTAGGAA